AGGCCAACCTGCAGGGCCTCAGACCTACCAAGGTAACGGGCTCCATGGCCACCCAGGGCCACCCAGGGCCACTCAGGAGAGTCGGTCACGTGATTTCTAGGCAGCACCAGGGGCTCACTGGACAAGAGCAGCCAAGCAGTTTGTGCTTTTCTCTCACCTCAGCATGGAGTGGGCTCAGCTAGCGGGGCTTCAAGTGAGACTGTCGGGGGTACTGCCCGGAGTGGCATGGCGGTCCTCCTGGGGAGGCTCCAGGGGGTGGGCAGGGCTGGAAACGAGTCAGGAGGAGCGGCAGTGGCTGCCAGCACCAGAGCCAAGGTGCTACCGCTGGAGTGACCGAGATCCCTGAGATGGGGCAGAGTGATGGAGGCTGGAGAGGGCGGCGGGGTGTGGCGGAGCAAGGCTGCGGTCAGGGCCACCGAGTGACCTGGGGTGGGACACAGGGACACTACAAGAGCAGCACCCAGAGCAGGCAAGGAACCCGACAGGACATGGGCGAAAGACCCTTTGCTAGGAGGCTGCAGACGGCCCAGGCCACTGGCACAGAGCAAGACAGAGGGGGGACTTCCGGAGATGGTGGCTGGTGGGGGAGGGGGATGGAGCTAAAGAGTTTGGGGTCACCTCTTGACCCCAGCAGGTGGAGGAAGGAGGTTCAGGAGGGGACAGTGTGGGAGCGCCCTGGGCGCAGAGGCCTGGGGAGGGCTCAGGAGGCAGGAGGTGATGGGGCTGGGGCTGGAGTGGGGCTGGAGTTGGGGCTGGAGCGCCCTGCTGGGTGGGGTTCAGTCCCCCAGATCTCCACACAGAGACAGCAGCAGACAACCCAGGTGCTCCTCCAACGCCCTGGGAAGTGACAGGGATCACAGTTCAGGTGCTGCTCTGTGTCGAGTCCCAGGGCATCTAAGTGGGCAGGGGCTGAAAACAGTGCTAAGTAACAAGTGAGTGGCTTTCACAGGAGACCTTGGAGGGGCCACACCTGCGGCAGCGTGGCTTCCTGGTGGACTTTGCGGTGCCCACGGATCTTATGGACAGAAGCTTCACTCGCTCGCAGGATGATCGCAGAGTGCTGCCAGCGCGGCCGGCGCCTGTCAGGGGGCCCCAGGGGCTTTTCCAAGTCTGTTTCTTGGTGCTTCCCCCCGGACGTCCCTATTCTTTCCACCTCCTCAAAAGGTCAATTCCAGGAATCCTCACCCAGGGTACCCAAGTCCAGAGCTGCTCGGGGCCTTGCCCAGCTGGTTCCTGCCAAGATTCAGTACCCAGCATGAGGCTGGCCCATGGGACACCTCTGCTCTCTGCCAAGTGGACAAATGTCCCTTCATGTCCCAACCACTAAAGTGTCAGCACACTGCTGCTGCTGCTGGGGGTGTGGCATCGTCTGTCACCCTGTGGGGAAGGATTACTGCTTCAGGGACGTCCAGTCTGGAACTTTGTTTTCAAGAACTTTAGTCTCCACTCTCAGCAGGTATCCACCACGGAGCTCACCTGCTCACCGATGACGGCCCCGCCATGAAAGGGAGCTGTGTGGAGGTGCCAGGGGACACTGGGAGTGACGGACTGCAGCAGCTCAGGGCAAGTGGCTCCCTGGGAATGCAGGCTACGGAGTCCCCTCTTCTGGTTTGCCTACAAAAAACTTCCTGTATTTTAAAAGCACCCTGGGCCAAGTTACTCTGTTGGTAGGCTGCTGTGGGCCACACAAGCCCCCGCTTTCATTTTTTAAAATGGACCTGAGCAGTTCAGACTTGGACACACGTGGTGTCTGGTTCGGGTGTGATCACACCATGGGGCCGGCACAGCCGCCTGGGGCGCTCATTCATTCCTGGCAGCCCGGGGCGTCCACGGGGTTATTACAAGTTTGCGCTAAGTGGGTAAATGGTGTCCCTGCAACTGCAATTTCTGTGGCTGATTAACTCGGCAAGCATCTTCCCTGCAGTAGGACAAGGCCTCGGTAAGGATGCAGGCTACGGAGGATTTGGACTTTGGGTTATGGGCTCGAACATGGGCAGACCACGTCACACGCTGCGCCTCCTCTTCTCACGTGTCCAGTTGGGGTTACATCTGTCCCTACCTTGTAATGGCATCAAGATCATCAAGGGAGACAGTCCAGCTCAAAGCACTTAGAACTGTGCCTGGCAGCAAAGCACTCTCAGGCCCGGCTGCCACCTGCTACTCTTGGTCTGGGGAGGCGAACCTCACTGCCCATCTCGGCTCCTGGTGGTGCAGGAACTAGCCACTGCGTGCCAGGAAAGGACCAGGCAGGCCTGGAAGAGGCAGTGCCAGGGAATGGACCAGCAGGATCAAGGGTCAGGCTGGAGGGTCAAGAACGCAGTCCTCTTCCAGGAGCACTCTCTGTGACCTGGTGATTCTTCCTACAGCATCTAGCCAGGACTTTCCCCGGGCCTCTCTACATGGCCTAAGCCAGTGGTTCTGAAACCCACTGAATGACCTGAAGGGTTTGTTAAAACAGGGTGCTGGGTCCTGCCCTCAGAATTTGAATTCAGGAGGCGGAAGAGGGAGCCAAGAATGTGCACTTCTAATAAGGTCACAGCTGCGGCCGCTGCCTGGAGAACCAACAGTCTAAGAAATTATGACAACGGTCAGTCGGGGTGTCATGGAGGTGAAGGTAAAGCGTCAGTCTTTGCCCAGTGGAGAAGAGGGGCCTGGGGGACTATGCCCTGGGACTGGCACTTGGGAGACCAAATCTGGGTTCTCCTTGGGCACTTTTGTCCAGTTGGTGTGGGGACCTGGGGGAGATGAGGTCAGAGCAGGCAGCAGCGTGAAGGGTAGGGTAGGGGGACAGGTCAAGTCTGTGGGGCTAACTGGAGAGAACAGGAGGTCTAGTCCAGAGGCAGGCCTGAAGGCCAGGTCTTCAGCCTGTCCTGCCTCTAAAACCTGGGGAGGACTTCCTCCATGAGGCATTTCCCAAATTAGGGACTGAGACTCACAAGTCAAGTACCGTGTGGTGACAGCAATTTTAAAAACCGAATTGAAAGAGAATAGAAGAGTTCATCACACCCAACACAGCCGTGGTCTCCTCGACTGGTTCTGGGCCTGTGTGCGTCCCTGTGCTGGGTCATGGTCTACGTGGGTCACAGCCTGAAGGCTCGGCTCACAGACCCAGAGGGGTGGCCTCTTCCTGCCGCAGCAGCTATCACAGCCTCTACCCTGGTGAGATGCTGACCCCAATATGGGGGGCACGAGGCCTCCAAATCCCCAGAGCAGCAAGGGCTGGGCAAGAGGTGGAGGAGAGCCAGCCGAGCCCTAGAGGGGCTCCACAGAGGGCTCTGCCCCAGGGCATTTGAGAAGAGGGGAGAACTCCTGCAGTCATGGGTGATGGGAGCTGTCAGGGAGCACGGAAGGCCACAGAGAGCTCGGACACCGACTCAGGGGTCGGCTTCATCTTGGGTACATCAGGGTGCCATAAATGTTTGAGTGGGACAGCAGCTGGAGGGAGACCTTGGGTGTGACAACACTGGGTGGCTCACCCAGCACCTCCATCCCCAACCAGGTAAGAGACACCTGAGAGTTAGAGACCCTGGAATCACCAGCTTGGCCTGTCAGTCTGGCCACAACCCCAGCTCCTCTTTAAGTACAGTCTTCAAGATGCTGTCACTGGGAATTTCGGTGGGGAATTATTTTCCCTCTCATGGGGACCATTGTTTCCCACAGAGCAACCCAATATCATGTCCATGTTGAGGCCTTGTTACGCTCTGATCGTCTCAGTTCACACATTAAGAAGCAGGTATAGCTCTGTCTGCTTGGGGACACTGAGGGCCCCAGACTGCTGGATCAATGGCTCCTTGCATGAGCTCTTTATCAGAAGCTTCCAGCATTTCGGAGTCCAGACACTGAAAACATGGCGGCCAAGCAGAGAGCAGTCTTGCACTGTGGCCCCACCTTTGAATATGTAAGTTTCCTATTCTATCTAAAGGAAACTTTAGAAATTTAAGAGATCTTAAGAAATTTAAGCAATTTTCATTTAAGAAAATTTCACATTTAAGAAAATTTCAGAAATACACAGGAACAGAAATGGCGGCAGAATTTAGAAGACAGCATATTGCAAAAGCCCATGTCACTTTTGCCCACCTCCTTCCTAAGCTGAAGCCTAATTCTCTTTTCATCCCGGGCACCGACTCACAGGAGGCCTTGAACATTCCACAATGTTCATGGCTAATTGTACTGCGGAACTGCCTGCTCCCTCTTTTCATGCTACGTACGTACAGAACACCAACAATTGCATCTTATTTCCTCTCATCCACCTTGATTGAGGCAGAAAAAGGATAAACAGCAAGTGCTGTTGCAAATATCCATCCAAAGTGGTAATTATTGCATCATTATATTCGCTATTTTACTTGTCATGTACCATTAGAAGGTAACAAGATCATTGTCAGTCAAAGATTGTGGAGATAATTAGAGCATCTATAGGTTAGCGGGGAATCAGATTGTGCTGGTACCCATCAACGCCAAGGCGCCGAACGTAATTAGAGAGAAAATATGCAAAGGTTGCGATGAGCGAAGCCCTGGGGATTAAATACCGTGACTGATTTGAGAGTGACTCTTCCACATCCTGGCACTGCAGATGGAGGCCTCAAGCTAGGTGTGTGACAGAAGACAGGCAGTTCTGCTGGGAGCAGTGCATCTAGACGCCACTGGCTGCCCATGAGGCCCTGAGCAGGGCACAATTTGGAGAACACGCTCTACCGCGTTTTCCAATCTGCTGGGTTTTCCTCCCGTTTCTCCAGCCTGGGGGCCGGCCGTTAAGGCGTGGGACAGTGGGAAGTGGGCTTCTGCTCACCTCTGGCTGCTAACACCTCGGGGCCCACCAGGAGTCTTGTTAAGGGTCCCAGGATGTCCCCTAGCACCCCGTCACCACGGATTCAGAGTCCCCAAGTCCATCCACCCCCATGTCCAATGCCCGCCCAGCAGCCACCTGGCCCCACCACTAACCATGACTGCCGTTGGGCTTCTTTCCCAGTAAGACACAAACACCAATCCAAAGACCAATGTCATCAGGTTGATACGAGAAAATTTAACAACTTTTTACATCGTGAAAAAACAAAACAGGTTTAGAGGACAGAGGAGTCTGCAGACCAAGGAGGGGTACACCATGACGTCAACGAGACACAGGGGAAATGCCGGGGAGCAGCACACGACGAGTCCAGGTGAGGTCAGAGGAACGAGCAGAGGGCACTGTCCTCACGGCCCCCCAGGCTCCTCGCCGATGGCCACAAGCACAGGCTTCTGCTCTGAGTGTGGAAGTAGGGTCGGGACACACAGCACTGGCTACCTGGGCCACACACGTCCTCGCCAACATCCAGAAGTCCCTTCCTGTGAGTTTTACAGCATTTTTGTTTAAAACACACAAATGAAAAAAAAAATCCATAACCCATGTGAGGGGGGAGGGCGCAGATGGCTACAGACACTAACTGGTGGGAGGCTAACTGAGCCGGGGAGGGCGCCAGCCACCGCAGGAGAACCTCCTGGTCTCGCGCGGGCCGGGTTTGGGCTCCGGTTCGAGGTGCTTCTGTCCGAGAGCCTGGTCTTGCGCAAGTGTGGCTTCTTCCCTAAGAACCGATGGCCACTGCACACAAACAAGCAGCTGGAAGCTTGGTTCACATTTTTTAATAACATGGCACAGTTTACATTACACAAGAGGCTCCGCCGATGAGAACATGCTGAAGATTCAGTTGCTTCACTTTGCTTTTCACACAGGGTCTAGAAAGGACTTTGTTACATACAGGATAAACAGCAAAAGGTCTGTATAGAACAATCTCTTTACAATACTGAAAGCTACCACTACAGTTCCAGTGTACATATTCCTTGGATTTTTAAAGTTGTTGTCTTTTAAAAAAAAAAGAAAAGAAACAAAACCGAAAAAAAAAAAAAACCCAAAAAACAAAAAAAAAAACCCCAAAAAACAAAACAAAACACTGCACAACATCTGGTGTTCACAAAATCTGAAGCTCACAACTAAACCTTCAGTTTACTACTAAAATAGATCTCTCTGCTTATTAGAAACAATGGTCTGTAGTTAACTTTTTTTTTTTTTTGCAAAAACAGGATAACAACGTCAGATAGCACTTTAATATACTAGAAGACCAAATGGAACTAATTTTATTTCATACATGTATTTTACAGTCCAGTAGACAAGATATATTGTATTTCTCTGCTAGTAAAGTCATATTCTCTCCAAATATGTAGACAAGAAGTTTAATGTATTATAAAAGTATCATGAAGAGACATTAAAATTGATGCAAACTCAAAAACACACGCGCACACACACGACTTCTCCTCTGCCACCTGTCACCTCTGTGAATCTCGATGGCTCTGCGAGGTCGACCTGTCCCGGCTACGCCCAGACCTTATTACTGACTAGAGTACAGTGCGTCGCGCTGGGAACCCGCCTCACACTCAGCCGTTTCTGAATACAGTGAAAACATATCCATCATCTCAGAAAACGCGAAGCTTTCTTTCAGGATCTGTTTGGGTGTAATTAAATCGCACTGCAAAATGAGGAAGTGTGTATACCTATGAAATAGGACACACTTAAAAAAAGGCATGGTTCCCACCAGAGGCGTGTGAGGTCGCGTGACTGGCGGTGACCGATTCTGGCGGCCTGCTCTGTCTGCCAGACACTGCTGCCGGCCCCTGATTTTGGCATCTGACCAATCCCACCCTCCCTGGCACTGGTTTGCCCTTCCTGGGGCGCACCTGCCCCTGAAGCCCACAAGCAGCAACTTCAGATGCAAAGTTCCAGCCTGGGGTCCCCTCTGCAAAATAGGATGTTTCTCCATTTGATAAAAAAAAAAAAACAAGCAAGGAAAACAGAGTCATATCACGTAAGCGCTTGTTCAGGGAAAATATGACCTTAAGTATGTTGTAAATGGATTTGAAAAGGCTCCTTTGAGTTAGGCGGGCTTTTGTGAGAAGCCCTAACGTTCATTGCATAGTTGAAGGGTTTAGCTGTCTCTAACAATACGGGGAACACAGCCTTAGCAGGCCGTGCTCACTGACATTAGGTTTGCAAATAGCACATTTCAAGAAGTAGTAATGTATTATGTTACTTAATCTTTATCTATTTACATTTGTACAAAGTAAAGCTTTCGTCTCACCCTTTGCATATATGAACCACCAGCTCATGAAGCAATCTCTTTACAGGACTATGTACACGGCCTTCCCTTCCCATCTGAAAGAGCTCTGCGTGATGGATGGTGTGGGCTCCCCCGTCCTCCTCAAATTGGTGTGTGTTGTCATCTTTACTGTTTTGGCTGAAATCAAGAAGTTTCATACAAGGAACAAAGAGTAGGAGACATGAAAACATATGACTTAGCTAAAGGATCTGAAAAATTCCAACATAGAATATACAAAAACATTTCTAAATCTGCACGGAGTCTGTACATGTTTTACAAGGGGAGCGGTGGGGCTGGCCACCGCGTCTGCGCGGGGTGCAGGAGTCCTCCCTGCTCTCGGGGCTCCCTCCGCTCGTCCCCTTACCGCGCCTCGATGTCCTTCAGAGTGTGGGAGGGCGGCCGCTCCCTGATCTCCGTGGACAGAGGTGTAGTCCTGCGCGGGGACACCGGGCGGCCCCCTATGGTAGAGATGAGCGGGGGCGGCGCACTCAGCGCCGCTGTGGGGGGCGTCTTGTTGAGCAGTCCATTCTGGTGGCCCGCCGTGGGGCTGATGCGCGGGTAGTGCATGCTGGGGAGGCCCGGCGTGAGGAGGCTGGGGTGCGGCAGGTGGCCGTCCAGGGAGGCAGGGTGCACAGCATGCAGCCGCGGGTGCTCGTAGTCCTCGCGCAGCACGTGCAGGCGCTCACGCTCGTCCAGGTGGCTGGCCCGCTCGTGCTCCCGCCGTGGGTCCACAGCCAGCGGCGGGTGGTGGTGATGGTGGTGGCTGTAGTCGTGCGGCTCGCGGTCCCGGAAGGATCTGTCCGCCTCGTACAGCCGAGGGGCCGACAGTCGGTGCAGTGGGTCGCCGCGCAGCAGGAAGTCCCTGGCCAGCGGGTCCCTGCGGTGCACGTCAAGCTCGCGGTAAGGGTCCCTCAGCGGGTCCCGCATGGGGTCCCAGTGGAAGGACGGGTAGGGGAAGCGCTCCCCGCCCGGGAGTGGGCTGAGGCCCATGAAGGGGGTCATCATGCGGGTCCGGTCCAGGCTGCCGATGCCGCCCATGGGGTGCAGGCCCGCCACGCCCACCGCCATGGGCACCGAGGCCAGCGGGCCTGCGTGGGTACCCGAGGCTGCGCCCGGCGGCTCCGCAGCGCGCGGTTGCTGCGCGGGCTCCGCATGCAGTTCGTGCTCCTCCCTGCGCTCCTCCTTGACCTTGACCTCGGCACTCTTCCGTGGGTTCTCATAGGCAGGTTCGCCCTTGCGCGGCTCGGCCTCGCGGCCCGAGGTGCTGCCCGGCCGGGCACTGTCTAGCGCGGGGTTCCGCACGTAGGGCGACGGCGCGCGCGCCAGCTGCTTGGCCTCCTCGCCCGCGGCACGGGCCTCGTGGCCGTGCCCGTCCTTCTCCGGCGCCGGGCCCTCCTTGGCCTTGTGCTCTTCTGCCGCCAGGTCTTTCCGCGACTCCGGGTGGTCTCTCTCCCTCTCTTTGGGTTTGTCCTTCTCGCGAGCCTCTGTGTTCAAATGACCCCTGATCTGCTCGGTGGCGCTGCGGCTGTGTCCCAGGGCGTTGGCCGGGAGGATAGGTGCTGGTGAGGGGTGGCTGGAGTGTCTCTTCTCCACACTTTCTCTGCGCAAGGAAGGGGAGACAAGCACGCAGGTGAAACGGCCTGTGGCTGGCGAGGGGCTGCGATGAAATGGCGGTGTGAAGAGGACAGGCTGGGGTGTGGCCCCCAGTCGCCGGGGCAGTGGACTGCCCCGAGTGGGGCAAAGCCGGCCACCTGACCTACCTGCCTGGATTTAAAAGAAGCTTAACAGGGACAAAGTACTGGGGATGAGGGTGAGTGGAGAGTGGAGGGGCTCATCCTAGCTGTGTAAGAGCCACGCGCCTCAATCAAAGCCAAGACTGGGAGGAAGCACTGTCCCAGAGCCAGAGGGGGCCCGCAGGTCTCTAAGCCAGAGCTGCGGCCACAGAGCCTGCTGCCCAACTTCTCAGGGTCCTTTCATGTTAAAGGTACATTCTAAAAGCCCAGAGCAAAGTGACTCCCAACTGGCCGCAGTGCCAGTGGAGAGTGGATGTAAACATTAAAGGAGTCTCTGCCTCCTGACCCTCAGAACAAAGGCCAGTTTCAGCCAAAAGGCTGGGGACAGAACCAGCACCAGGGGGCCAAACAAGGAGTGGGAAAGGAATCCAGGGACCCAGGAATCTGGGGCCATACCCAACACTGGGCATTAGGTCAGTAAGAGCCAAAGTCCCAGGGGAACTTGGAGGCCAGCAGTAGAATAGCAGGCTGGGGACACAGGACATCTTGAGGGATATTGAGGATAACTTTAGAGGTCCTTCAGTAATGAGAATGTGAAAGGAGAACACCAGAGACCTAGTGTGGACGGGAACTTCTGAGGAGTAGGCAGAAAACACAGAGCAGAGTGGCAAGAAGGTCAAGCCTAGCTGAGATGGGGAATCACTCAAGGCTCAGGATGCCCAGACAGACCTGGCCAAAGTGAGGAGAGGAGAGACACAAGCTGTCTCCAGGGCTAGAAAGAGAGGCAGAAGACCAGGCGGCCACGTGGGTGAGAAATGGACGTGCCCCTGCACCTTTGGGTTCCTAAGCTTATGTGGAAAGGCCGAGAAGAGAGACCTCAAGGGGAAGACAGAAGAGGAGCAGATTTTATTAAGCTTCCTGACTTCCATCAAGAGGCCATGTGAATCCGTCAAGAGCGCCCTGAAAGGTGTGTCCTACTCAGTGACAGGTGAGCTGGACAGCCCGGGGTCTAGAGCTGGTCTGCTGTGGCCACACCCCACTTTAGCCATGTATAGCTCGAGCTGAATGCTGTCCACGTTGGCCATGGGTTCGGAGATTGTTATCATACTGCTCGGGAGGAGGAGAATTTGTTTCTTTTGTACAAAAGAAATCAACCACTCTACAGTGACAGTCTATGACGAGTATCCTGTGATCTGCCACACAGCCTGCAAAGGCAAACTCAGTCACCAGTACACATCGCACACAAGACACACAGTAAAGAGAAAGTCAAGATCAGGATCAAATTTCAATCCTAAGTGCCAAAAGGACATTGTTAGACATTTCTGTCAAGCATATCTTGTGCATCCCTTATCAGTGCATTTAAAATGAAGGCAGCCTGAAGAGGGAGAGAAAGGTGGGGACGAGGTTAAGAAGGCTACTGACATTCTTCAGAGACAACACAAGACTTTCCTCTTCAAGAGAGCTTCCTTTTTAGGCACAAGTTCCCAAGTGCAGAGACATCAGTGATTATTTAAAGCTGCTTGTCCACCGGGAAAACCAAACCAATACCAAAGCTTCTTTTTTGGACGCATCTCTACATTTGGGTTAGTAAAATTTTATTAGTCATCTGTGAGCCCCAGACTTTGAGTTTGAACAAAACTTGAGAAAAATATGATGAGGAAATGCAAAGATGATTTTCTAAAAGCAAACAAAAAGAGAGAGGAAGAGAGAAGCCTATGGATGGGTCATGGGCTGCGCGAACTTGAAAGCAAACATGGCGTTGATTCATGCTGTGTATGTCTGGCCCGGAGCGCCGGCTCGCTGTGTCACAGAGTCGGGCTTGTATGGGGATTGCTAACTCTCAGGGGCTCGGGAGCTCTCTGGGTACCGCTGCCACAGGGCGGGCGCCCTGCTTGGGCTGTGGTAGTGCTGTCATGGTCACTGTGCCACAGGGCACTGGGACTGAGGGCTGCTGGCACTAGCTGGCTGGGAGGGACCTGGGGCTACGGGGTGGCTGGAGCTCGAGGCTGGGACAGGAGGGTGGGTGGCCGGTTCCACTGGCACAGAGCGGGCTCCCCCATTGGGACTCCAGAGCGGTTTCTTTGCATACCTTTCTTTGTCATCTTTACTAACAGATGAGTCCCGTTTATCTACATCTCTATCTCTGTCATGAGCTGCAGCGGACGCGCTGCGCTCCAGCTCCCCTGGCTTCAACCAGGGCGGAGGGGTCGGGAACGACGGAGGCGTCCGGTGCAGCCGGTTCCAGGGCTCGTGAGGGTGGCTAAAGCTCTGCACACTGGGGCCATCCTTGTGGCCGAACACTGAGTTGGGTGCTGAAATGGCGAAGTGGGGAACAAAAAGTTTGGAGAGAGATTATACGACCTGCTGTGACGGGGTACTTACCAAAGCCTTCAACAGCACCCAGAGTTAAAATGAATACATGTTATTGGGAGCTGGAAGGAAAGGAGATCGACAGTCATTAGAGGAGCTCTGTCCTGCCCCTGGAGAGGCAGTGCACAGCTGTCTAAAAGTCCAACCCAAAAGCAAAAGTGGGGGTGGGCAGGGGGGGATTAAAAATGAAAGGGACCAAACAGGTGTCAGGATCACCTGATCACACGTATCTGGCGCATGCAGAGGCTCTGAGCATGCAGAAGGGCGGCTGTAACGGTACATGTCATCAACTGGGAATCCTGTCTCCTCTCCCTGCCAGACCCTGCCTCCCGTCTTCCCAACACGGGCAAACTACAGTGAGCCCCGGAGACCACTCAGGACCTCAACCTGAACACACGCAGAAGCCCTCCAGGCTGTCCCTTAAAGAGCCCTCACTCACTGTGACGGTGACCTAGAGCTACACTTTAGGTCTCCTCTGCTCCCCAAATAGGAACAGATATGTCTGCAAGACCACCAGCTGCACATCCAGAGACTGCGGGGCTTCCAGGACACGCAGGGCTGGCAGCCCCTCCTACTAGAGATTATTCAGTAGCAGAGAGCTGCAGGGCTCTCCAGGTCACAAGGCCGTGCCACAGGTCTTGATGGCTCTGGGCCTGGTTCTGCAGTTCTTCACTGCACTGTTTCAACCCCATGGGAGCCACAGGTGCTTTTCCTTCTAGTAGAGGCTATGGCCAGCCCTTGGGTGGAAGAGATGGGAGTCAACTGTTTGCAGCCATCAGCTACATCACTTTCCCTGGCCCTAGGGATGGACGGGACAGTGGCCTCCTTAAACCAGTGGCTTTGCACACGTCCACCAACTCCACTGTGTAAGCCTGCCATTGGAATTATATGACTCCGAGTTCATTCCCAAGAGTATACGTTTCCTTCATCTCGGAAGGTCTGGTGTCAGAGGAGAGTCCAGGCAGGTATGGAAAGCTAGAGGTACTCACTAACTGACGGGTTTCCAAGTCCCCCGAAGGCATTGCCACCAACCGCTGCTAGGCCTGTGAAGGTGGACGGCCGATTGAAAGGCTCTGCAAACAAAGGCAGGAGGAAGGAGGGGCTCAGATTCCCCAGTGGGACGGGAGCAGCGGGGTGAGGGTGGGTGGGCGAAGCAAAGCCAATCCCCATCCCACCCACACCTGGCTTGCCTTCCTAGTGGGGTTGGTAAGTACCCATGAGGACTGCGTCCCTGCCCTGCCTAGGGACACAGGAGCCCCATGCTCCAAGGTGCCTTCCCGCACCTCTCCCAGGAGGGTGCTCTGCAGCCTCTCGCTGGACAGAAATAAGACCACCCCTTACGTTCCCAGGGGTGAAGTCCTATTATACCCTGCGTCTGCTTGGCCACATGCAGAAAATATCAGTAAATAAAGGCCACAAAACCAGGGGCCTCTGTAACATCGGCCTGTCTTTCTTCCACCTGCCGAAGGTGCCTTGGCTGTGGAAGGCGTCGATGTTTCCTCCCAGGGAGGGACAGAATGCCCTGGACTCCAAGTCCCTGAGGCACCCAGGACAAGCTGTCCCCCACCATTAACTCAGGGCAGAGCAGGACTAGCACAGACATACTGGCGAGGGAGGTGGTTTAGGCGGCAGTGAGTCCTGAGGTGGTACCACATGCTAACTGGGCCCCAGTGGCGAGTGACTTATGGAGGACGGTTCCCCATGTGCTGGTAGGCGCAGCAGGAGCCACCTTGCCCCCGTGAACTCACCCAGGTGAGCAGCAGGGTTGAGGAAGTTGCTGTGATGAGGAGGTGGCCCAAAAGGGGTCCCGGTGGGGTGTGCAGCACCTGGTGAGTCAAACACCACCAAGGTCAGGGCTTACAGAAAGCAGCTTCGAGGAGCAGCCTGCTTCAGCAGGCCTGGGGACCCCAGGAAGTCTGCTGGGGTGAGGCCCATGCCTGCGTGGCCCCTCTCCTCTTTCCCAGGTGGGCAGAGCCTCGCCTTGGGTGCCAGGAAGAGCCAGCTTCCTTGTGGATTCAGTAGCAAAACCCGTGCCTGCAGGGCATCCTGGTCCATGCTGAGGCTGCCTTCCTCACAGGTTCCCCCTATCTACATTTGCTTATCAACTCTTTATCACACCTGATATGTATGCTTGTAAGTCACCTCAAATCCTTCTCCTGAGGAGGCTGGGAAAGGAAGGAAAGAAGGAAAGGGAGGACCAGATGTGCATGAGTTAGGGAAGGATAATGCTTCCATAGCTCAGGCCATGGGGCGGGGCCACTCACTGCTCAGAGTCAGGGGGTGTGGCCTGGAGGGGCGTGGCACCGAGGGAGCTCCACCCTGCTGTGTATATCAGGCATTAGTCTCTGACAGTGAGATAAAAATGCTGAATTTAACTAACATTAACTAGTAATAAATACCAGGTTAAAGTTTTATCATATAACCATTTTGGGGCAAAATTCAAGCGTAATCAGTACCTATATTTACCCATCTACCACCAAGGTTCCATAATGCCTGGCATTTTGTCTAAGTTCCTATAAATGAGTGCAAATTCCCTCAAGAAAAGACAGTGCAGGAGGGCTGTCCCTGGGCTGCCAGGACCACCAGCACGGGAGAAGTGTGGGTCAGGCACTGCCTCTCAGCATCTGAAGGGACCTGGGCTGTGGTCCACCTGGTGGCTTGTTTTCCACCTGGGAGTGCAGAGAGGATCCCCCAGCTCCACAGCATGCGCATGCTCTGGGACGTTCCGAGGGCCCACAGCTTGCCAACTCAATGGACTTTTGGCCACACGCTGTCTGCAGTGCAAGCTCCTGAGAGCTTCAGTGGAGACCATGCTTCACTCCACCCAGGCCCCAGGGATGCCTACAGTTCCAGAATTATCAAAGCAAAAGATGCAATTCATCTACTTTGGCTCAAATGAAAGCCAGGGAGAAATCTATTTCTCTCCAAAAACTGCTCTTAGTGTGGCCATGTCTCGGAGCCAGATTCCATGGCAACAGAGCCTTCAAATGTGACAGAAACAACAGGAAAGCCCGAGACCTCAGCAGATTCCTCTGACCCTCAAGAGTGGTCCCCTTGCTCTGGCAACAAGGCCTAGGATGAGGATTCTCGCAACTCTCTCTGCCTCCGTGGGAGACCATGTGCCCCCAACATGAGCCATGGGCGGCAGCAGGCCAGCCAGTGAAGCAGGGAGCCCATCAACACTCAAGTCCACAGTGGGCATGAAGCCACTTGTCACCAGAGTCAGCCTAGTGCTGCCGTTTTTAAGTATTTACGGAAGCCAGGTGGCCCACCTTCTCTATCACAGCCCAACCACTGACAAACAGCTCAGTTGGGTTTCTTTACCATTAGACCCTGAAACACAGCCAAGTGTAGTGTCACAGTGCAAAGCCACCCCTTGCCCGTGCATGTCCCCACAGTTCCTGGCACCCCCTTTACTTCTGACTGGCCCTTGGATCTTCCCTCTTTCTCAGTGGCATCTGACAATCTGACGTGCTGTGGGTTGCACTGGTTTGGTACACACAGCTCCAGAGTCCCTGCAGGGGAGGACGGTCTCTTTCCCTTCCAGGTGTACCAGGATGCCGTTTAGGTGGTGAGTGAGTGAGAGCACAGGGCCCAGACCTATCTGTTTGGCTACCTGAGGACCACATTTCTCACTCCATTGCCCCCTGAACTCACCAGAGGCAGAGAACAAAGTTGAAGGTCGAGCCAGGTCATGGGGGTGGTGGATGGCTCCAAAGAGACTGGGGCCTGGTGGGCGGCTTAGGAACTCAGGCTTCAGTCCGAAGTCCAGCTTGTGTGGGTCTGACTGCATCTGCTTCTGCAGTGGCAAGGGGACAACAGAAGATGACATTCCAAGTGAGCAGCAGGAGAGATTCACTCAGAGCCTGAGACCATGGGAGTGGGCTCTTGGAACGGTCCACATTCTGGGCACTGGCCCTGGTGAAGGTCAAGTTTAGGAAGCCGGGAGAACCAGGTGATCCTCATGGGCAGAAGCGGGTCCACCTAGGAGGGGTCAGCAGGGACTGCTGCAGGGGAGTGCCTAGTTCTCCAGAAGAAGAAGCACCGAGGGCAGGCCTGGAGCCTGGCTGGAGGCTGGCCTGTGGCTATTTGATCAGGGAGGGCAGCCACATCCTGTTCACTCAGCTGGTACCGCTGAGTGGTTTACTATATTGCTGTAAAGGTCCATTTTAGAAAGTTTTAAAATAATAGCATTTTAAAGCTCATTTTATTAGGAATTCTGTGTGAATAATCTGCTGTGTAAATTAATTGTTTAATGCCTCTTAGCCATACTCTAATAGATTACAGTACATTAGTAACTGAACATTATGAAGAAATATTTGCATGCCTACAAGCTAATTTTCTAATGATCACTGTTACATAAAAAAAAAAAAAACAAGATGAAAGCAAAGTAGGCGTATAAGTTTAACTAATGGGGGTGTTTCTTCTTAGGACTACCCCAATCACCGGAAGAGGAGGAGGAGGAGGAGGAGGAGAAGGAAGGGGGGGGGAGGAGAAGGAAGGGGAGGGGGGAGGAGGAGGAGAAGGAAGGGGAGGGGGGGAGGAGGAAGAGAAGGAAGGGGAGGGGGGGAGGAGGAGGAGGAGGAGGTGGCAGCTAGTCCAGGCAGTGGCCCATGGAGATCCTCTCCTGCTATGAAGTCCTGGGTTCATTTCTTTTCACCTGCCCACCCTGATGCTGGCCTTCCAGCTTACCTTCCTCTGAGGCTGTGGGCACTGGCCAGAGGCTTCCTCTAGGCTCTGGCCTCTCTTTGGAGGCGGGTAGCCCTCTCGCCTGCATGGCTTCAAGTCTTCCGGCCTTCTTATTTCTTGACAGCCTTCCTTCTGAGTCAACTCCACACCTCCCAGACAAGCACTGCCCTCCATGTCCCTCACCTCCCATGGCCTGGGACCCTGAGACCTGAGCTGAGCTGCCTTCCCCCTGTTGAGGGCTCCTTCACGGCCCAGCTGCTCTTGCCCCACCCCAGCCCTCCTCCTCCTGAGATCCCTGCCTGCTGCACAACAGAGAAGCTTCGGGAGAGGGTCTCTGCAACAGAGCAGGGGCCCAGGAAGTGGGCTGTCCCTCAGCACCGCAGGTCAGAGCCCCCTGGTCCTCACGGGAGTGACTGACACCTGCTGGGAGCTCGTGCTTAGGAGTAACACCTGGGAAAACAAATGGAACTTGTGGCCTTGGGCACCACAGATCCTTATTGCAAATGCCTGAGGAGTGAGACAGGGAGAGAGGGGCCCTCTGAGCCCCGCGGTGAGCAGCCCGAGCCTAGGCGGCTCACTAAAGAGCTGAGTAAATGAGCACTGCCGAGCAAGGGGAGGGGACGTCTGCTCAGACCCACAGGGACTGCCATAATGGAGTCCCTCCCTAAAGGAGCAGCGGAGCCCAAACCAAGCCTGATTCACTATCAATCTATAAAAATCTCCTGAGTACCTCCTTTAATTTGGTTGCCAAATTATTCGGTGCTAACATCGCATGGTGTACAGCACAGATCCATTAAACCAACTCAGGTCCTTGAAGCCAAACGGAGCCTAGGATTGCCAGCAGTTTGTGGGAGGGGAAGATGAACAGAGCCATCTCCTGTTCAAGGGTCTTGCTGATTGAATGGGGATAATGAGAGCTGGAGTTGCCAGGGGCGTTTCTATGGAGAAGCTGCTACACACAACATCCTTCATCACGTTCAACCAAAGGACAAAAGGAAGACATCTTGCGCCTATAGTTCTGCTGACCATGTCACCCGAAACCAGAAAGCATGAACTAATCAGCAACACCACGAGGTCCCAATTACACTGAGTCCAAAAGGAGGGAAAAGTGAGCGGCACTCACTGATATGACGTCAGCACTAGGGGCAGGTGTCCAAAGCCAAAGGTCTCTCGGAGGTTTGTTCCTCCCTTCTAACTAGGTTCCATCTTTGCTTCTGAACCCCTGAACCCTGCCATGTGACTGGCGTGTCCTCCTTGCCCATGGGCCTCAGGATGACCCTAAACGCTGCCAAGACCTAGTCACGCATGAAGAAATGGACGGAGAAACCTATGCTAGAATGACCTGCTTGGATGTTTCTCATCATTTTTCCAGGCTGCAAAGACCCAGGCTAAAGTGTGGACGTCAGGTTCCATATGCCTGAGCCAAGCCCCGGAACCGTGTCACGTTACCACCCGCATGCTCTGTCTCCTCCCTCCTATGCCACAAAGGCTCTGGTCAAGCACGGACCATCTTCATCTGTATGGTGCAAATAAAAAGGACCTGCCTCAGGTGGTCCTGGCAGGTACTGACTGTCTCTTAACACCTGGATAGGTCACCAGGAAGACTGACAGATGGTAAGAGCAGGCCCAGCGTGACCTCCGGAAGGGCTAATGTGATCATGCACACTGCCGATGGAGGTTCAGCACCACCATCTCCACATGGGGCGTAAATATCATTTCCCCAAACCCAAAAAGGAAGAGAACACATGGGTTGCTACTAAAAAACAAAACAAAACCATCTTCTGTTGGCTTTCTCAGCCTCTAAGTGTTCTCCATATTCTAGTTCTTGCTCACTATAATTAAAATGTTTATTTCAGGATTAAAACCATATTTAAGCCCTTTGGATCTTAGTATTTAAGTAAGATGATAAATTTATCAAAAGGAAAGATGCACCAGGGAGCTACCAGTTTGCTTTTGTTCTGTGATTCTGCTGGAGGTTTCCCTTGTTAAGGTTCTCAGATGGGCTTCCCGAGGGACCTCTCGCTGCCTCTGGTCTTCAGACCCTGTTTTGAATGCTCTTACTCAGGTGTTCCTGGGCAGATCACGTGCTTGCACCCAGCAGCCCCGCCCCCCCCCAAACCAGGAAGGTCGGACTGACCTTGACTTTCTGTTGGTGGTGGTAAATCTGCCAGGCGATGTGAACATGCATAGCACACCACTTCCCTGGTTTCTGGAACAAGAAAGAGCAAAGTGGTCAGAAGGAGACGTTTCAGGGAAACCGCCTGCAAATCCCCCAAGCTCTCAGCAGATTCTGGCTGCAGAGACTTTTTTCATGAAACAAGAGAGCTTTGTGCCTCCAAGAGCCTCCCGTCAGCAACCCTGCCGGGCCCAGCCATCAGGGAGCCATAATCGCTCTCCCCCTCTTCCTGGGGCCCAGACATCGGCCACCACTCAGGAAGCCATACTTGACAAGGACCCCCGGTTACCAAGGACAAGATGGGAAAAGCCTGAATCCCACTTTGTGCCTCTTCTTTCTTTTCTGGTGCCAGCTGGCAGACCTGGTGAAGTAGGAAGTCCTACTTAACAAATGTGGCTATGCTATAATACAAATCAGCTGTTCACAAGGGCTAATTAGGGAGCGTCGGAATCAAATCAAAACAAGAAAGGGCACAGGACCTGTCATAACCTCCCCATGGTTGTTGCTTCTTTAACCCCCAAAGCGGGGCAATGGAATCCATCCCACTGCTGTTGAAGTCCAGTGACCCCATATGCTTCATTAAGAGCTGACCACTCATTCATGCTGGGACACTGTTCATGTCCAAGAGAAGGGGAGGGGAGGGGAGGGGAGGGGAAGGCATTCTTTCCTCCCTACTCTCCAGGCTTCTGCAATACCAAGTCCCTCTTCCACCCCTGGAGGAGTGCAGATCAATTTGCATCTCCCAAATCATTCCATGCCTTGGTTTCTGAGCAGTGGGGTGACGGCAAGTGCCTCTCTTCTGCCACTCGGGGCAGGGACCACCTCTTTCTGCTTCCTGCCAAGCAATCTCCTCTTAAGCCTAGAGTGCATGCGCGGTAACTACTGGACAGAAGGAAAGAACTCCATTCTGCACTGGCAAAGGACAGAAGCTTCGGGTTTCTGTAGTAGGAAGCTGTTCCTGAAATACAGACTCAGGACTTTTCTCCTGTCATGGACTGACAGGTTGTCTGACATCACAAGTACCACACTGCCTCACCTAAGTGAGGACACAGACCTCCTGTTCCTTTTGGAGAAGGTGGATTATCTGAGAGTATGCACCAGAAACGGGTGGGGACTGCAGGAAGTCTACTGCCCATTATCTACCACTCAGCCCGGCATGGGGAAGTTGGCATTCACAGAGGGGCCATCTGCTGGCCAGGCACCAGACCTCAGGACGTTCTGCTTTAAACAAGACTTTAAACAACCAATGCTCACAGTATCCTTTCCCACACCACAGAAACAGGTCAAGTGGCTACGAAAGTCAATAGCACCTCGTGCTGAACCAGGGAGCCACAGCAGAGCATACCCATCCAGGTAAGTATGCATTTCCTAAAAGACACTGACTGCAGCCCGTCGCTCAAGTCTTCCTCCCTGAGATCCAATCAGACTTTCTACCAGACCTGCTCACACCAGAATCAGACTCAGCTCTACCAGTTACATAAATAAGAAGCCTGTGGCCTGGCTTCCTCCACTGCCCAAAGCAAAACAACTCGGTCACTTGCATCATACAGGACCTGAAAACCCAACCACCGTGCCACAGCCTGCTGGGTAGGCTGGCTACAGACTTGCGTTTCCAACCCACAGGGAGTCAAACAGAGGTTGCAAAACAGTGCTAGAAGAGGCTTTCTTACCCTTAACATAGGTCTGAAAGGATCTGTCAACTGTGAAGAGAAAATGACAACTTGGTTACACGCCTGTCACTCAAACAATTGCTCTAATTAACAAATTTGTAGTGCTTCATTAGGAGGGGAAATTAAAATGTTAGAATTTTACTTTTAAATGAAGCCCTTTTGGAGAATAATTAACCCATTTTCACACTATCAAAAGTGCCAAGTGTCCCCTCCCCCACTGACATCACTGTCGACAACCCCGTACAAGTTTAATCGACAGCAGCGTGCCCTGGGCAGCCTGGCCCTGGTGCTGCCCAGCCTGAGGCTCCCGGGGGGCAGCCCTTCCACACCACACCGAGGGTGCAGGGGAGAGCAGGCTGAAGAGGCAGACTCAGGGTCAATGCTGAGGGGACGCATGGGCCAGCCTTTCTGCAACAAGAGTCACCGCGGGGGTGGCCGCTCTCGGGACCTTCAGCCCGAAAAGCTTCAGCCCATCTACATAGCTCCCGCTATCAGCTCCAGCTGCCCTTACCCAGGGAGGAGACAGCACTGGGATGGCGATCGTTCTCTCACATTTACTATAAAGATAAATGACCGTTGTCGAGACAAGATTGTACCTCCTGTGGAACTTCAAGTTCTTCTTTGGGAGTAGGTGCAGTGTAGACCATTAATAAATGACATTACCAAAGCATCATGGATATTTTACTCAGCTCTAGAGCACAGGGGATCCCGGCCACATTAAAAGCAGAGGGCCAGAGGAGCCATGGGGTCTGGGATGTCCTGACCTTGGGTAGCGGGTGGCGGGGGCTGATGTCCAGCAGGAGAAGCACTCAGTGCTTGTCCATCCAGAGCACCCACAGCAACATAAGGACTTGCAGACAGAAAGGCTTGGTCAAGTAGGAACTGGAGAAGCCACAGTGTCCACTTTCTAGGCTCAGATCACAAGCCCGTCCCCCTCCTTTTGCTGGGAAGTCAGCCTTCCGGTGTCACTCACGGGGCAGGAGAGAGTGTCTTCCAGGAGGAACTGGCACTCTCTTGCACAGGTGGGGAGAGTCCCTTCCCCGAGAGCAGCTCTCTCAAAGGAGATAGGAGGGTCGCGCACAGGACCTGTCCCCTGCACACACCCGGGTTACCTGAGACCAAGCCTGACTTGGCACGTACCCGTGGGTCCTTCTGAAGTAAAGTGTGTGGGACTGTCCCGGGCCGAGCAGCAACATCGATAGGGTTGGATGTCTACAAATTAATTAGACCACAGCTTAGGAAGCACAAAACACGGGACATGAAGCAAAACCTTTCCTCCTTCTAAATGAAGAAGTGAGACTTCATCTGTTTCATTCTAAATCACAGACTCATTTTTCTCAGTGAGCATGTGAGCTTGTACAGGGCTGCTCCCTGTTTTCTCCAGCGCTCTGACCAGAGGCTGCTCTCTTCCATGGCATCTAAAGCAGAGAGGTGGCCTCCAGCACCCGCCACCACAGTGGAAGCCACAGGACCAAACAGGGCAGCCACGCATGGAGAGGCTGGCCCGGACGCCTCCTTCCCAGGTGGCCCAGCTCTGGCTGGCCGCCTCTCTGCCCCCTCCAGACGTTCCAGGAGATGCTCAAGTGAACACTGCCATCGTTTGCAGTGTCAGGTGCTTCTCATCAGAAGAGCTGACAGCACTGCGCAGACATTAAGCCAACGCTCCACGTTTTAGCTGGCAGACAATAACAAGAAATTACACTCAGTAATGACTCATTAGCGGTGGTGGAAATGGGACAAGAGAACCCAACATAGGGACCACACAGACGCAGTATCAAATTCTGCCTGTGTCTCCCCTATCCTACCTCCCTTCTTACACACCACTCATAATATCAACCTATCTGTAGGCTTTTGTCCTTTGAATGAACAACAACCAAAAGCCTACTTCGGGCACAGTCATTATGGTCTTGTGGGAGAAGGATTTTAAAACTATGTAACACCAATTATTTAGGAAATCACAACCTCCAGGACACCCTCCCCCCAACACACACACCAGAAGTTAACTCGTGTGGAAAAGGAGCTCAAGTTCAGGCACCAGGCTCGCCTCCCTGGTGAAGGGGGAAGGAATGAAAGGAAAGCAATCAGCTGCGGCACAACCAACAATTAAGCTGGAGTTGTTAACAGCCTGATTTGCATACATATGAAGAACTCCACTAATGAACTGCAATCTACATATTCAATCAGGAAGGTGGCCTGGAAAGGCCTATTTCCACACCAGCAGAGGTTCTCTCCTGCCCAGATGCAGTTTTCTGTGTGATTGGATAATTGTGAGTGAGGGAAATAGTCTAATTTATTAAATGACCTACCAGTCTGTTTGGGGATGCACTAGAGATTTGTCCCAACCTAGAAGGGATGGACCAGGGTCTGAGGGAGCAGTAAAGAGCAGGCTCGGGGAAGGAGTTGAAAACCGCCGTCTTCGATCTCCAGATAGGAGGCACTTGGCTGAGCCACTGTAGAGCCCTCTGCACGTGTGACGTCACACATCAGGGGCACTCAGAGCAAGGGGACGAGGCCTGGAGGGCAGCCACCCCACCCCAGGGCCTCTGTCCTCCTCTCCAGGTGTAATACGTCTTGGGCAAAACAGCAGGTACCCATCCTGGGAGGCTGGCCCCACCCTGGTGCTCACCTCAGAAATGGGATGGAGAGAAAAAGAAAACCACATACCACAGAAAACCTCCCCTGAAAAATGTGAGAATGGTTTGCAACTAGAAGATGCGTCACTTTGGTAAGAGAGTAAAACGGGCTGCAGTTGATTTTAAACATGCATGTCCTGAAAGTCCCTCTCAAAAATGTTTGTGACCTTGGCAGTTTGAACGCTGAGAGCCAGCGGTAGGAGAAGCACAGAACCAGGAGGCCCAGAGGTGCAGCCTCCGCTCCAGCAGACCCGCCTGCCCAGCTGGGGCTGCGGAGGACAGGGCGGGCCAGGAAGGGAATCTCCCCAATACAACAACACAGACTGCTGCACCCCTGGGACTTCAGTCCAGCCTCTTCTTTGGAAAACTGACAGGCCCAGCCTCCCATCTCTGCCTCAAAAGTCAGCTGGGCTCAGAGGTCATGGCTCCCTGGACAGAAGCCCATGCCCGTGGTGGCATCTTCCACAGGGCACAGAAGCTCAGCTGAGATCACGTGGGAGTACCAACTGAAGCCTCAATTTTTGCTGAGGCTTAAAACTAAATGGACTAGAAAAAAAATCCTCTCACTCTAATCTCTGGGTCACTTAGGATCTGAGAAGTCAGTCACTGTGCAGGAAGAAGAGGCAGACCCCCTCGTGCCCAGCAAGACACACCCCTGGGTCTTCCCTGTGCCCTCCTTACCTTGGGCTGAAATGCTCCTTGTAGTGAACCAAAAGGGCCCGTGGGTGGGATCATGGGGGGGATGCCCGACACTGCAGGAGGGTAGGAGTGGAAGAGCTGCGGCCAGAGACGAGAGGAGAAAACGGCTTTAGTCGGAGGCAGGTGACATGTTCACATTCCCCTCCCACAGAAAGACACCAACAGGAGCGAGCCAGGCAACTCAGCCAGGTGCCACTAGTGAAGAGCCAGGATGGGGAGGGTGATCACACAGATGCGCACGAATGTCTGATTTAAAAGTAGTTCAGAATCAATCAGGCAACAAATGGTGTCCCAGATGAGAACGCCATTAGAAAGGGAGCTTTCTAATTATTAATTGGTGAATCACAATCGAGCCCTAAATGGGTAGAGGTTTCAATGCATATCCAAACCAGGAGGGATGCTGGGCCGATAAAATGCCCAGAAAATCACAAGTTAATTAGAAAAAAGAAAAAGGAAAGAAAAAGAAGCAGTTCCTCATGAGTGCCAGGATTTTATACCATTAAAACTCAATTAGTGCTTTTAGATTTTTAATAGTTTGAGGAAATGAGAACATATTCACAATCCTTGCTTCATTAGGTTGTTCTAGAAGTGGCAGTTCCAGAGGACAATTTAATTCTCTCATCTAAAATGATGACAAATATTTGTGGAAGGGTAAAATAAAATGACTCAGTTTAAACTTTAAATAGAGCTGCCAGTTCTCCTAAAAGGTAGATTACAGAAGCCTGGGAATATTATCCCATGTAACAAATAACATGTGGGGCTCCCCCAGGACTGCTGGGCCCGCACGCAGAGCTCAGAGCCATTCTCGCTCTCAGCTCTCCTGGAACTCGGAGCTCTTTGGGATGAACACAAGGCCCTGATTCTTAGGGCCAGCTTTGAATCGTGTCTGCTGCTCAATAGACAAGCTCACTGGAGGTCATGCAAGCCAAGCTGTTGATGTGTGAGTCTGACCACCTGATGACAGGAAAAGCATGATTTTGAGTGAAAAATATAAATTTTCTTGACTCATTAGCATACAAAGGACATAACTGAAGGAAAAATGTACAGCAATACTGGGAGATGATGTGAGCACATCTTATTACCTCTGAGGTTCTACACCTCTGGGTCCATTCACTTTGACCAAACCATCATGTGGATATTTAAGTGACACACCAACTCACGGTTGTGTCACATGTCACAGTATGACAATGCACCTTCCCAATAAGGCCCTCACACCAGTCGCTCTGGCAGGGACTGAGACCCACACGTCTCTTTCAGGCTGACTCCAGTTGCTCTCTCCAGTGGTGCACAGAGGTTTCAGACTCATTGGTCCTGAACTGAACCCACTTACACAGGGACTGTGCAAGGGTGCCCCCTTCAGAACTCCTTTCAAGTCCAAGACTGGGTTTTAGATTCTTGAGCACGGCCTCTGCCGTCCGCCTGTAGCGTCCTGATCCCAAGGCAAGAGGGACTAAGCACTTCCTGTATCACCCTGTAACTGGCCGTGTGAGGACCCCCCAGGGCCCTGTAGAAAGGAAGTGGAGTGACCAACACCCTCCACCAGAAGTTCGTCCAGGTGGGCAGTTCCCTTCACGTTCATAGTGAAACCCAATGCTCTTCCCACTACCTTTGCTCTGTCCCACTGCTGACCACTAGAAAATAAATATAGCTGAAGACTGTCCCCGCTGGAGAACCAGAGGTCGTGGACACTTTCCAAAGTCCAGACCCCTAGGCTGCCTCGCCAGCCCCAGCCTAGGTGTCTCTGTGGAGTGTGCCCATGGAGCGTGGCTTCAGGCTGCCAACCTGAGCCGCCTCCTGGGCACACTGAGCTCCACAGAAACCATTCTGTGAGCTGGTCCCTCGTTAAATCAGCAAGACACAGAGCAAGGCAAAGTGGCACCACTCATGGGCAGGTCCCAAGAGGGACCCAGGCCTACTGGGTCCTGAATGTCTATCTGAAAACCTTTCTGCATCAGTGCTGAGCAATACAGGTGGCCCACGTGGTGGGTGCAAGGCCCTCATATGCACCTTTCCTTACTGAAGAGGCCTCACGTCACTTCTGAGTGGCTCCAGAGTAAGTGATTCTTAATTGATTTCTAATATTTCCTAGTCTTGATTTCTCAGCTATGCTCTTGACTAATAAAGTATCTAATTATCTATTTAAAGTATGAATGAATTCAGTCTTTGCTGATCTGCTGAGCAACATTTCCACCAAAATGAGAACACAATCTAAGAATCAAAATGGGAATAGCTGTAAATGATGAATCAACATGGCTACAAGCAATTATGACTTTTCCTTTTTTCTGGATTCACTTACAAATTAAAAAGAAAAGAAAAAAAAAAACCATTGAGCAAATAAACTTGCAAATTTTCAGATAAAAATAATGCAGTATTCATCCCATAATCAAAATATCACAATCAAGTATTCAAGGTCTTTCTATAGAGAAGCTCTTGTCTTCTATATCAATGAACATATAACGGGTTGGTACCAATTTAAGTTCTGGAATGTATACTTAAGATTGCATAAAACTGCATCTTTTAAGCAATGAAGAATTGAGCTTAAGGAGAAAAGGTGCATTTGTTTTAATGTTAAGTCTTTCTTTAATTAAACAATATTTTAATTGTGAAATGAAAATACACTCAGGAGAACAGTATCAGCCATGTGGAAGAGGGTTCTGTATTTAGTCTCAAGTAAATAAAAATCTACTTTTTGAAGAGTTATGAGTCAAAAGAATGAGGGACTTTGTTCAGAGGGAACAGTCCGGCTGAGGTCCCTCTGTGGCTGGCTTTCCGCCTGTGGCTGAGGTCCTGTGGCCTCAGGCTCTGCTGCAGCAAGGGCTGCAAAGCTTACACCCCCAGGCAGGGCAGGTTCTGGCTCCCAGGGGGCCGTCCTGGCTGTGCTTATGATCTTTTGACTCTGAAGATGATACTGCATCTTTACCAAAAGCAAGACGCCACAAAAGCAAGCATCCACAGGGACGAGCAGCAGCGGGCACGCTGGCGCGGTGACGGGAGGGCCACTGGCCGTGTACTGACTGGGGGAGAGCGCACGCACGGAAAGCAGGCACATTCAACGTGTAGCAGGGAATGCAACTCACACTGTGCCGGTAGAAGGGGTCAACTTTTGTAGGGTATTTGTCAAACTGTAAAGGGATCAAAGCAAAAACTAGTTACTTCATCTGCCTTTGGTTCACTGTTCAGTGGAGGCAGCCTACAGCTTCTGTGTCACTGAGACATCACTAGACCCTGCAACCTCACTGGATAGGAGCCACCTGAGCTCCTGAGCCTCTGGCAACCCCGAGTCCAGTCTGCCCACGCCGCGCTGTGTCTCGGGCCCTGGATGCCTGGTGGTTCCTCTCTTTCTACTCTGCGCTCAGAGGCTGACACAGTGAACACCCAAACTGGAGAGGACAAGCACCTCCAGATCCATCCAGAGAGCCGAGCACGGGGCCTGTCCTCCCAGGATCCCTCCACTTGGTCTTCTCCTTGCCAGAAGAACTGCAGATCTGCCGTTCTCTGAAGTCCATGCCACCCACACAAAGCAGTTGGGCTGGGTCTTCTGAACCCATCAGGAGGACTCATCACCCCCGCCCTCATGCCTGTCTTCCTCCAGGATGTTAAGACCTCAGATTGACTCACTGGTGGACCAGCTCACACAGGCCAGCATGATATTTTCTTAAACCATTAAGCCCTTAAACACATGACTGTTGGCCGGGGCTCAGTGGTGGGCTCGCCTAGCACATATGAGGCACTAGGCTTGATCCTCAGCACCACATAGAAAACAAATAAATAAATTAAAGGTATTGTGTCCAGCTACAACTAAAAAGGAATTTAAACAAATAAATAACTGTTGAGAAATACAGTTCTTCCAGAAAAAAAAGACACAGAACTTGCTATAGGACTTTTTGTGTGTGTGTGTGGGGGAAGGGGGTGAAAAGGCCTCATCTTTAATATTCCCCTAAATAAAACTTGTAGAACAAACTTTAAAAATGTATGTTAAGAAAAGTAAGTTGAGCCAGTGGGTGAGAAGGGGCAGAGGTGGATGAGAGGACCCTCCGTGAATTCCCATCTGCTCTCATGGGGCCTGATGGACTCTCCTCTTCAGGGTTTCAACCAGGCCCTTCTCTAAACACTGGACATAAGTGACAACTGAGGTAGAACTCTGTTAGGGCATTTAAAGATTTAAAGAAGCCTGTCTGAGACCATCCGTTTCAGTTCCCAGTTCCCTGGGTACATGGCAATGCCCAGACACCTCCAGGCTCAGGGTTCAGCCTCTGAATGTCACCCCACAGGGCAGGCAGCTGGCCCTAGTGGCTGTTCCTCCACTTGCCCCTCCCTCCTGGTGCTGTGAGCACCTGGTTCACACTGCTGTCAGGCCACGATGCCAGGTGCCCAGAGAAGGAAGGCCACTAGCAGGTGGACCCAGCACTGGCAAATGCGTGCAGGGGGCACCTGGGTAAGGCGCAGGACACTGCCCCTCGAAGGCCGCCTGGCCTCAGGGCCCACGCCCGCGCCAGCCCCACCCTCCTGCACACAGAAGAGAGTGGGCTCTACTTATCCTCACATTTCTGCCTGGGGTACGCACCATGGGAGGTGCTGGCGTCGGCATGATGGCGGTGGGCGGGATGGCGTGGGGGAAGGGTGTGAAGGTGTGCTGGTGTGTGTGCTGGTGCGTGTGCTGGTGCTGGTGCTGGTGCTGGTGGAACTCGGTCCGCAGGTAGGGCGGGGGGCCCAGGGAGGCCCCGCGGTCCGCGCTCTGAGAGGCCAGAAAACGCGTGTTCAGTTCCTGCCGCAAGATGTCTTGCTCTGGAAAAGAAGAAGAGGGAGATGTCGGCACCTTTTCCTTCCGAACGGGACATCTGGGTTCTTTAGCATGGAGGGTGCAGGGCTGAGGATGGGGGCCTGGGACAGAGGGGACAACCCCAGGCCCGCCATAGCCTGGGGCTGCTCCCAACGAACACCTGGGCCTGGGGACCAGCTGCATAGCCCAGCAGGTCAGTTCCCCATCCACACGACTGGGATGGCCCTCTGGCCTTCTCGGGTCATTTGGAGGTGGGGGTAACAGGGGGGACGCCTGCCAGCCATGAACGCAGCAGGCTCCCCAGCTGGCCTCAGGGCAGACACACAGTGACGAGGAGCAGCACTGGGACCCTGGCCCGTGACACAGGTGAGGGGAGAAGGACCCCATCTCCCACCAGATCATCCCTAAATTCTGGGATGCATCATCATAAAAGTGCACCTCTTCTTTACAGGAAGGTGGACGCCCTCAGGCCAGGCCCACGCCCCAGGATGCGGCCTGAGACGCTGGAGAGAAGCAGGCGCGGGCCTGGCAGGCTGTGGCCGCTCTGCTGAGCCGGGGTGCCTGCCGGGCCTCACCCCTCAGGCCTCCTTTCCCACACCCCCCTCCCAGGGCATGGTTGTTTAAGTGCACCCGGCCTGGCGATGAGGGACGGCAGGGACAGCAGTGAGGTTCCGGCGCCCACCCGGGCCATCCTACCTGAGTAAGTGCTCCCGGCAGGGTGTCCGGGGACCTGCAGACTCCCTGACGTCAGCGGTGGTGGCGGAGGCAAAGCAGTGGGCGGGGCAAACATATTGGGGTGATGCGCGTGAGCGGGGGCCTGGAGGGCGGGGGTGAAGCTGTGCAGGGGGCTGTGGCTGGGCAGGGAGAGGGGGAACGGGGAGGCCGAGGGGTGGTGGGAGAGGTGCGGGGCGGCGGGCTGAGTCTTGGCCGGAGTGCTGCTCCTGCTGCTGCTGTGGAGCAAAGGGAGAAACAGGCGCAGGTGAGCATCTGCGTCCCCACCGCCCTCCCTCCCCTGGGCCTCTCTCTCCCCACCACACAGCCTGGCAGAGACCACTGCCCAGCGTCGCGCACAGGGATGTCCAGGCAGTTCTCTGCTGAGACAGCCCCCCTCACTCCTGTGGCCCAGCCTGCCCTGCTCTGTCCCCTGCCGCCCCCACCCTCCTCGCCACACTTCCTGCCAAGCAGCCAAGGAACAAAATGGAACAGAACCACACCTGGGTCGCCCATGTCTGCTACCGTAACCCCAGGACCACAGGAAGAGGTGGGCCAGGTCTTGTGCCACAGGAGTGGCCCTGGGTTAGGAGCTGGCCCAGCCCTGGGAGAAACCTGCCTGCTTAGGTCTGTTCTTCACCTGTCCCTGACCCCACCAGGCTTCTAAAAGGAAAACAATAACAAGCACAAGTCTCAGGAGCCCACAGGGCTCAGGGTCACCCTGGACGGCCCCTCGTAGACCAACCAGGAGGACCTGGCTCTCCCCACTGGTTTCTTCTCTGACTCACAAATGAGGAAGCAAATCCCACTGAAAAAATGCTCAAACCAGCACTGGTCTCAGACTCCTGGGCCTGAGGAGACAACCCTCCCGTGACACCCCTTCTCTCCTCTGAGTCTCCACCTTCAGGGCCCTCGGAGGCACCTTGGCCTCCACTCCCTGCCACATACCTTCAACCGCTTCTTCTTCTTTCATCTTTTGAGATGGGGTCTTTCTATGTGCCCTAGGCTGGTCTCCAGCTCCTGGGCTCAAGCCACCCTCCAGCCTCAGGAGCTGGGACTACAGGCGCATGGCATGGGCCTGGCCACCTGTTGGGTAAGCACCTCTCCTTCCTGCCTCTGTCCTCTAGGAGATCCTGGATAGTTCACTCCTGTGTAGTGTCAACGGCCAACCCAACCGGCTTTCACCCAACAGCCCCTGTCCCTATCTCCTCGCCTCCCAGAAAAAACAAGGACAGTTCTCAACCAGGCCACCCATCTCCTAGGAAGCCCTTACCCAGACTCTCTGACCATCCAGCAAAGGTGGCCGGCGGGCAGAGAGCAGGTTGGCTCACCTTAAACTGTTGAGGCTCAGGCTGCTGCTGTAGGCTGACAGGGGCTGGGGCAGGCCCTGGGACGAGGGGTGGGCCTGCACAGCAGGAAGGTGCTGGTGGAGCAGCTGGGTGGGGGACGGTGGCCTGGGTGGCCGCTGCACCTGAGGCTGTGGGGCGGGCTGCAGTGGGGCCTCCGGGGGGCCCTGCGGGGGCTGCGTACTTGGAGGAGGGGCCGTTGGTGGGGCCTCTGTGTGTGGCACCAAGTCAGGGTCCGGAGAAGGGGCTCGGAGCTGGGGCTCCGCCTGGGGCTGGGGCAGCGGCTGTGGGACCTGAGGGCAGGGGTCCTTAAGCACCACAGGCTCAAAGGCGGGCTCTTTGCAACAGTCTTGGCTCTTCTCCTGGCTTCTCTCTAGACCTGATATCTTGGGGACAATCGGCCCTGCATCCTGGCTGTCATGTTCGGGCAGTGCGCCAACACCTAACTCCGAATCTGTATGGGGGAGAGCAAAGAGAAGTCACAGAATGACACAGGAGCGTGGCACCAGGGGAGCGAGCTCCAGCCTGCAGGCACAGCCAGCAGCCACCCACCATCCCTCCTGAGGAGAAGGGTGCGCTGGCTGGGGATCCCACAGCTGGTGGTCTGCAAACCAGGGCTCCCTGTCCCCAGTCTTTGCAAAGCCTTTCTGAAGCACACTTAAGAAATTATAGCCCACAAGTTGATTTTTCCCTTTAAAAACAAATACAGTTCCTGAATGAGAAGTGTTTTCAATTGCGAATGAAGCAAATGTTACTTAACAACAAACAGATGTTTCTTCTTGGCCTTTCCCCCTCCCCCTTTGCATTGTGACTGAGGAGGCGCACTTGACATTCTTAGAGCAACAAGTTCTTGTTCAGCAAGTGCCAAACTTCCAGGCAAAAGTCAGGCCTCCTGATGTGCCCCAGCCAGCCCAGGGACATCTAAGATCAAACGTGCAAACGCAAATTTAAATCAAGCGTGCCACAGCTACACTCACCAGGCCTTCAGAAATGCCCCTGCACCACGGGATGCTGAGACTTAACTGGATGTAAAATTTAAGTAGAATTCTTCAATTGTGGGGAAAGAATAGAAAATAGATGCTCCCGTATAAACTTAAAAAATAAGTTTCCCTCCTAAGGTCAAAGGACCTAAGTGCCATAACTACTATGATGGCATTGTTGATTATCCCAGAAGCCGAATTCCATAAAATTCTCAAAACAGAATAATGAAAGACCAATAATTACATATCAAGGCATAGCCCAATTTGGAGTAAGTTCTTTGCAGGCATCTGGCAGGGGGAGATCACCTCGACTCCATTTTTGTGCTAAAAAAGATGCATTCTTTCTTTACTACAGTTCAGAAACAGGAAGAGCACAGCTTGCAATACTTTCTGAAATGAGGGCACCTTTGCAAACCTCCTCTTCCACATCTCTCGCCACCATGAAAAGCATGTGCCACTCACGCGGTCTCTCAGTTCCTGCTTACACACTCGTGTGTACACACACAGTTTGCATCAGAGCAAGCCATCATCTTCGGTGTTCGTTTGGTAAGCAGTTCAAACCTGAATCATGCACCAAAGCAGAAACAAGCCCTGGTTCATAAGCGAGGCACCTCCGGGGCTGTGGTGGACGTGGCCAGCTTCAAGCCAACATGCTGCCTAGGTACGAGGGGACAGGGCATCTCGTGAGGCCTGAGGACAAATGACTGCGCTGGTGACCTCTGGGCACTTTATTTCTGCCCAGCTGTTTTGAGAACCTTTGTAGAAGATTTCTGCTTACAATAAAGCCAAAACGTTGTGGGTCCCCAGAACTGGACCAAGCTCCCTGGTGAGGCCGGGGAGAAGTGGCTGCAGGGGATCCTGCAGGGCCTTTATCTTAGAAGTGGGAGCCAGGGTCTGGCCTGCCCTCTCCGTGCTTTTCTGTCATCTCTCACAAATTTCCTGAATTTTTCTTCCACAAAAACAGGGGTATTAGTCTGGTTGAGGAGAGAAAGCTCCAGGAGCGTGGAAATCCAGAGAGTACATGCCAACTGAGAGGGGCTGGGCATGTGCCGGGGCTCTTCCCTCACCCACGCCAGTTGATGGGCACAGGCAGGAACCAACCCATCTGCATGCTTCTGCACTAGTCCCTTCTCCCTGGACTAGGATGGTGAAGAATCAATCAATATTCTCTATTTTGGTAAGTTTATATCCAAATTCCTCTAAAAATTAATGTTGAAATAAATCTGCTCACATCAACAAGACTTCCTTTCCAAACGACACCCTTTAAATACACTTATGCGGGTAAGGAAAATACTAGGGACAGCCACCAAGCTCGATGTCGCCAAGTCTGCAGAAGGCATGTGTCCTGCAGGCGTGGCCTCCTCTCCTGTTGCCCCATGTCTAATCCCAGCCTGAACACCCCTGGAGAGTAAGGTGTGGTACCAAGAGCATGGCAGTCGCTGCCGCCCTGGACGAGCAAGGAGGGAAATAGGAAGCCTGAGCCTCTCCAAGGAACCACACCAGTCTGTCCCAGCCAGCTCTGGGGAAGCACTAAAGGAACTCAGGAGCACAAAACTTTAAAAGAAGACCAGCCAGGAGGCCGTCCCGGCTTGGCCCCCACTTGAGCAGGTGTGCCAATCACCCGGGGAGGGTCTCATGAAGGTGCAGACTCCAGCCCAGCAGCTCTGGGTGGGGCTCCAATTCCTGCCTGCCATCTCACAGGTGATGCTGCTGACCCTTGGACCACACTGGGAATCCAACCCTCTGTTGCCAAATGGAATGAGCTCAGAGAAGTGAGAACTTGCTGGCTGGAGGTCACCTTGCTGTTTGATAGATTAGAAGTTTTGGGTTCTGATCTTAACTCTGTCCACCAAATGCCTGTTCTTCAGTCTACACTGTGTGGTCCTTGGAAAGCAAAAGCCCCCAAACAAAGCAGATAACGGCAAATCCCTGACTCAGTTAAAATATTTAAGTAAACCAGTCACTGCAAAGGGCGAGGAAAGCTACAGGGAATTATGGCAACACCATACTTTAGCTACACCTGAAAGCCACCATCAACCCACCAATGCTCTGGTACTGTGACCTGTAGGCAGGGCAGCCACAGGTGGAGAGCTGGAAAGAACGCTGGTAGCTGAAACAGTTCTATGCATCCTCATTTACACAGGCCTCTTTAGGCACAGATTAGGCACCATGCATCTTTGTGGCTAATCAGTAATGCATTTCCTCTTCCTTTCAATTATTCAATAAATGGATCTTACCCTTTAAGGTTTTTCCATCTTGACAATTTGTCTTACTATGCTTCTCTAAAATTGGCAGGAACACATTTTAAAATCATTTTATATTGCACTATGTGCTTTGAATTTGCCAAATGATGAGATTTCCTGGGGTTGAAGAAATATTCAAATTGACGAGTGTTATTTAAATGTTGTATTCATTACATTTTGGGGTTGGGGTTAAGCAATCTCGCTTCTTGCAATTATAAGAATAACACATCGTGGCTTATAATAAAAGATGCAAATAAAAGTTATACTCCATTGTGTATGGTAAAAAGGGCATTTACTGCATGTAAAATATAGATTGATGAACTTGACTCAATAAATTTTTTAAAAACCTAATGGAGGATTAGAAAAAAAAAGTGTTTGATTTTTATACAGATTTGATACAAGTGCCCTGAGAAATTGGACCCTGACCACCATCCCCCCCCCCCCCCCCCCGCGCACAGTACTGAGGATTGAACCCAGGGCCTTGGGCATGCTAGGCAAGCACTCTCCCACTGAGCTGCAGCCCCCACCCCATGTCGAAATTTTGAGATAGGTCTTGTTAAATTGCCCAGGCTGGCCTTGAATTTGCAATCCTCCTGCCTCAGGCTTGTAAGTACTGGGAAGATAGAGGTGTATCACCATGCCAGGAAATGGAACTTATTTTGTACCTCCTCAGTACAATGCAAACCCCATAATCTCTGGAAGGCAATTTGGAAACATTTAGTAAAAGAACAAATAGGGCTCCCTTGACTTGGTGGGTGTACAAGGATTTAGGTACAATGAAATTCAGATACAATGAAACAACACCATGGTTTAAGGTGCAAGTTTGGAAATGCCCCAAATGAGATCATTGGTAGATTCATACCATGGAAAAATTAGCAGCTTTAAACAAAAAATGCTTTGTGTACCATGTATAGCACATGCTGCCTTTGTAGAAACTGGAAAAATTAATGTGTGTATATTTATATATAATTGTATTATTATAGCTAGGAACTGGATAGTGGGGGGACATTTTGCTTTATTGTATAAAAAAATAACTTAAATAAGCAAAAAAAATTGGGGGGTAGGGTATCAGGGACTGAATTTAGGGGCACTCAACCACTGAGCCACATCCCCAGCCTTTTTTCATATTTTATTTAGAGACGGGGTCTCACTGAGTTGCTTAGTGCCTCGATTTTCTGAGGCTGACTTTAAACTTATGATCCTCCTGCCTAAACCTCCCGAGCTGCTGGGATTACTAAAGGCATGTGCCACTGTGCCCAGAGAAAAATTTTAATGAATTTGAAAATAAAATGAATTTTGTGAAAAAACAAATCACTAAAACTGAATACAATAAACCCAACCATAAAAATAAACTAAGTACTAAATAATCAACACTGACCTATGAACAAATCATTCCTATCAGTTAAATGAAAAATCAACACAAAGTAATTTTTTTGCAGGGTTTCAACACTTATTAGGAATGCAACTACTATACTTTGCCACATCTGGGACTTCACCAGAAGTTGTTCACTCTTAGGAAAAACCGTGACATCAACACAAGGCTGCTTCTGGGGACTAACTACCACCACCAGGTGGCCGTGGTTGTAGCGGCCACGTTTACATGTCCTTCTCCACCATGAGCAAGCATTTATGTTGTTATGAATGACTTTCATTTACTTCTCCTTTATATTTCATTAGGGACTTACTTACATTTTGAATTATGTGTACAGATGGGTGTATCCAACTGTGTGTCATCCCAGCCAGTGAGACACGAGCATGTGTGACCAAATGCTAACCACAGGCACTGTGCACCACAGGATCTGGGTCTGGGAGGCCTGGTGGTGTGTTCATCCATGATGAGCCACACACTTCTCCACGCACAAGCACAGTCACTGCCTCGCAAGGCAATGGACGTGGATTCTGGCAGGTGAAGCGCTACTGCAGTCCAGCATAGTGGAGGCGCAGTGTCCCCAACCACTGCCAGGAGGTACGAACGACATGGGGTACCTTGGACAAAAGTGACCGCCAAGAAAAATACAGCACACTGTTCTTGTTCTGGGTATGGTCTCAGAACTGAAAGCCATCTCTATAAGTGCACACGCGAACATGAGAAGTGGAAAAACACACCCGAAATGTTAACCAAATCCCATATCCAGGAAAAGACCACCACCTGTACCTCATGGACCTGTACTTTTCTTAACTCCCTAAATTTTCTGTAATGAACATATATTATTACTATGAAAGAAAAAAAG